GAGTGGTGGTGGCTGATATTACGTCTATGGAGGATTGTCTGGGTCCAAAGGGTTGTACCATGGAGAATATACAAATGTTGGGAAAAAGTTTCGAATATTTTTTTTTGTCAATGGCAGGACAGAGCTTGTTGTGGCTCATGAACTAGCTCAGTATGTAGTTCGTTCTGATGATTTTAAATCTGGGATTGAAGAGGAGCCTAGTTGGCTCTCTCCTCTTGTACTGCTTGTTGATTCCTCATGTTAATGAAAGTCATATTTTCATAAAAATGAAATAAAAATCTATAAATATAACTAAATGTGCAGAAAATTGATGGAAGACTAAACCCTCAAGTGGACAAAGCTAAATGTGCAGAAAACTGAAGATAGAACATAAAAAGAAATCTTAAATTTCACAAAGAGTGTGGGTGTAATAGTAGTATTGGAAAGTATGTGAGGTGTATTAAGATAAATTTTAATCTAAAGATAAATGTGATGTGTATTAAGTATATGGGGTGTAGTCAATAAAATGTGGGGTGTATACAAAACAACCCTATTAAAAACATCTCGTAAGAACAAATTTTTTCAAACAATAAGCGCATTCACAGTACTCCAATAATTTTTTAATATGAACTTCACTCTCCATATATGATGTGTAGTAAGGGAAAAAGGTGCAACAATCACTTCCAAATGTGAATTCTCATTACACCTGATCGAGATATGAATTTAAAATTATTTTAGTACTACAATTTTGTTCGTAATGAATGATTGAAATGAAATTAAAGTTATCTTCAATTTGGAAATGAGCATGCCAATATACATTTAAATTTTTCACAAGCGTTCGTTTCCTAGTTTTTCACATGGTTATAAAATGTACCAAAAAAAGATAGAGAAAAAAACCAACCTCATCCTATAAATCGAGCTCCCAATCAATTATTAATTATATCCAACGTGTGACTGGTAAAATATATACACTGTTGCCCAACACTTGTAAGTACTGGTTTGATACTGAGTTACTTTTTAAAAAAACGGGGTATCAAAAAAAGCGGAAGCTTTTTTGTGTTTGTTAAACATTCAACTTCAGCTTTTTTTTTACAGTTTTAGGTGAAAAAAACTGAAAGTTTAAAGCAGCAAAGCTAGCTTTGAAAAACCAGCTTTTTTTGCTTCCACAACTTCTGCACAAACGTAATTTGCAAGAGGCGCTGAGCCCTTTAATGAAACTTTCAAACACCCAAAATGACCTTAAACAATTAAATAATTACACATAATACCAACTGGAAAACGTCACCAACTTCAATTGGGAGGTCATCCTCATCGATCTCGCCACAACGCCGTTCACTCCTAGCTTCAACAATCACCATTATTGACCTTGGATTCCATACCCTAGGACGTTGTATTTGCCTCTGTCCTTCCTCCCATCTCTTGTCCGTCCTCTATCACTCCCATGCCGACAAAATCGCGCTGAGAAATACCACCATCTTTTTCAGCGAGGACCAAATTCGATTTTTGGCATCACAGATTTGCCCAAATTTCCCAGATTGCAGCAACTGATCTTCGTATTTCTGCAAATTAGGAGAGCTCAGATTGCCCAGACAGACACCAAAACTCAATTATTCCAAATAGGCAAAATTAAATACAGAAAACTACTTCATATGATCAAATTCACACTATACAGTTTCAAAAAGAAAAAATGATTAGTCCCGGAAGAAGAAAGAAACCAGCATCCTGGAGCGTTGGCCCTACCCGATGTATATAATGAACTGCTCAAGCAGCTAGACCATGTATGTACTACAAATCAGATGACAGATGGGAGAGATTGAGGAACAGAGCAGAAAATAAAATAGAAGAAGACGGAGCAAAAAAAATAAAAACTAAGAAAATTGGGGTTCTGAGGGAGACTTCTTGAGAGAAGTTTTTGGTTTTTGGAAAGTATGGTTCAGTAGTGGGGTAGTGGGAGAGACTTCTCGATGTAGATAGAGAAAATAAAGGGGGAAAACTTAAGAAAATTAAATTAATGGCACATCTAGTATTATACATTTTTTGGTCATTTCATACAGTCATAGCTATTTTACATAAAAGTTTACCAAACATTATAATATTGTTTTTTTTTCCAAAAGAACTTTTACAAAAAAGTTTACCAAACACTATGCTGCTTTAACTCACAACTGCTTATTCTCACAACACAACAGAAACAATTTTTTCAAATCACAGCAATACCAAACCAGCCATAAATCCTGCATCGCTTCTCTGCTTATTTGCTGATATATATGATTTGTCCCCTTTCTAATTGACTAACGAAGTGCATAGACAGTGATTAGATTTGTCACTTTTCAAAAATTGGATGTAGAATTTTGTCTGTTATTATTTGCCATTGACTTTCGGGTTTATGATAAACTATGACAGTCCGATGTGCATAAATTATAAGTCAAAAGTGGACAACATATTTATCAATAATTTCTTAGTTTTGCTTATTTTTTAAGGAAAACTAATGAAAATGGCTTAAAAACTTTGAGCGAAAATGACAAAAATTGTGTAAGTGAATAGTACCATGATTGATTTTTTAGAGTAAAATGTGGTTTTTCGTTAAAGTGAACAGTACCGAGAACTTTTCGTTAAGGCTCCCTATTTTTTAATTAGCTCTTATTGGTGTTACTTATCGTAATATTAAACAAGGTACCAAATACCAAGGTTCTAAAAGATGCTAGGCGCTAGTCGGGCTGCGGGCTGGGGCCTAGCGCCTAGGCTGCTAGGCAGAGTCTTAGGCAGGTGCTTAGGCGAATTTAAGTAAATCTATTGTATTTCGTGTAAATAAGTGTCTATTTATACTTAAAATATATATAATTCAACATAAAATAGAAAATAGAATGACATATATATTATGAAGTATTAAAACATAATGAAAACATGGGGAGCAAACATATAATGTGTGTTTATTTAAGTGTTCAATAAATCTCTTACAATTTATTGGAAACAAAGTTATCTATTTTCTATCTGAGTGAGTTGCAACTTATGCAAGTGTCTAGGCGGGAATGGGCGGGCTAGACGGGTGCCTAGGCGGTCTAGGCGGACGCCTCAGCAGGTCTAGGGGCATTTTCTTAATTTTCAAATGCCTAGGCACTAATCAAGGAAGTGCCCAGCCACCTAGCGCCTAGGCCGAGCCTGGACGGTGGTAGGCGGGGATTTTTAGAACAGTGTCAAATACAACTTTCGGCCCTTTTATGAGTAAATCGGCTATTGTTAACAAAGAGTTCAAACATTACGTACTTGACTAAAAAAACACAGAGTAATTTGTTTTAACTCGCAGAATATTTTTAATATTAGCATTTAGTTAATCAATGTTTTGTAATTTTAAGAAGAGGTCAACAAAAAAATTAGGAAGGGTATTGACCTTATTTGAAAAGGAAAACTGTTTTAATTGAACTTTTTTTGTTGTTGTTTCCTTTTACAATGCCTGCATTTAAAAGGCAAAAACACCACACAAATCCAGTAATCTAATCGCGAACTGCTTCATTTTCTTTTTTGTTCAAAGCCATAAAAACCCAATTATTCAAGCAATCAAATAATTTGAGTAACAAACCCTAAAAAAGCAGGTAACGTTTTTTTTTTTTTTTTTTTTTGAAAGGAAAAAGCAGGTAACGTTTCGCTCACGTGTAACTGTTTTTTGGCTTTGCTTAATTAAACCCCAAACCCCCAACCCCCCCCCCCCCCCAAAAAAAAAAAAAAAAAAAACACACACACACACACATATATATATATATGAAGCCTTGAGCAAACCTTCCTCGCCAATTCTCTTCCTTCCTCTCCGTCTTCCAAAATTTCAATCTCTCTATTCTTCTAGTTGAGCCAGGTCTCCACATCAACTCTCAAAGATCTAAAAAATTGCAGTTTGAGGTAACTTTTATAGGTTTAGTTGTATGATTATGTTTTTTTTGTTTTGTGTTTTATTTTCTTCTTCCAGTATTACCGTTGTCTGAGCCATTATTTAAGAGTAGATTACATAATATGCATGATTTATGGGTCGAAGCAAGGGTTGAACTAGATATTGTAGAAATGGTAGGCTAATACTGCATGTTGTCTCTTGAGAGGCCGCGTTGAGGGTGTATAAAAAGTGCAGTGGCACGTAGCTCTAAATTTATGAAGACTTAAAATTTTCATTCTCTTACGAATTAAATATAAGTATAATTTTTTTTTTTTACTTATCTAGATTACAGTTGATTAAGCAGAACAAATACACAGACACGCACACTTAATATTTCAATTTTTCTTTTTTCTCTAATAGTAAGAAAAATTGTGTACCTTTTTTTGTCGCTAGAAATAAAAAACCAACTTGGGTATTACTTTTTTTTTACAAACACAAGTGTATTAGTCGTGCCCCCTTTTTTAATGGATGAAGCTTTTATCATAAATTCATGGCAATCAAAATTTATACAATTATTAAGAGAAAGATGCTAAATTCAATTAAGTTTGAATATTGATGATTGAATTTTGTATGAATATGTTGTTAAAAAACATTATTATTATTTTTGAATACGTAGGACCTTTTTATTAAATTTGCACAAGGTCCCAAAAGGGCCTCAATTGTCTTACTATCACACGCAAAAAAAAAAAATTCATATATGTATATGTTGTAGGCCTATTTGACTTAATTGTATTTAGGACTAGAGAGGAAGAGAGGTCGGCGGCAAGAGAGAAGAGAGAGATTTAATTGTAAGGTGTATCTTGTATCACCTCATTGTGCCTTTACATAGTAGTAGGATAGGTTGAATCCTTACCCTAATAGGATTACAAATTTAATATGATAATACCTACTAAGAAGAATATTCCAAAATATCCCTAGATACACTAGGATTTACACAATCACATTTCTATTCTAAATATGACTGCAACAATATAAATATTTCGAGGGCATTAATTTCCTTATATTAATTAGGATTTGGTGAGAAATAATTTCCTACTAATTAAAAAGCATCACTTATGTAGCTAGTAGCTCTTAGCCTCTGTTTCTGACTAACCATGCATGCTACATGATACAGTTCAACTTGATGGAAAATACTGGCTTATTTCTTGGTTATCGGAGGAGGCCAAATTACTTTTTATGCAATGTCTGCAACACATATGGTACAATTGTAAGTGCCTTATCATCTTCAATGTTTTGTTTCAAGTCCATTACATTTTTTTCATTTATCAATTTTGCTTGAAATTTTTGGATTTTATTTTTTATTTTTTATTTTTTATATTGTTATTGTAATTTTACGCTATTTCAACTTGTTTTTCTTACAGAACAATGTGCGGATGATTCCATTTTGGAATTTTAATTATTGCAAGACACATGAATCTGATGGAACTCCAAGGTGTAATACGTGTGACAGATTCAAGGTTAGTAGAGGAAAGTATTTATTTGGAATTGAATGGAACTAGCTTCTCTATTAGCTATAATATATATTTGCTTTACTATTCCCATCCTCGGCTCTAGGCAGGGGCTTTCGCACATTTCTCTTCACAAGTGAGTGGTTGAGATTTAACTAAATAGTTAGTTCTCAATCCTTCTTTATCATTTTTGATACTTCAGAAAGCAAAATTCTAACTGTGAGAGGCAGGGGGACTGCTTTGAATGGTCGGTTGTTCAGAGCTCTCACAGTCTGCATGCAAACAAGACCACACTCGATCCCTTTTCTCTCCCTTTTTTTTTTTTTTTTTTTTTTTTTTTTTGCAAATATATTAAATGAAAATTTATTAGATTAGAATACTTGTACAGAGAAAGTTCATATTAATGCAAACATATATAAGCCCAACTATAAAACTACAATATTACTTCTAATGAGCCCGATGATGGAAGTTTCATTAATTTGTCAGACAACAGGGCAGAATGGATATGTGAATCTTGGAAATAACCAGCAGCTTTGCTCGGAATGTTTTTCCACTGCTATCTTGCATCCAAGTAAATGCAAACGTCTTATTGAAAATGTGCGCAAATTTTATAAAAAGTTAGGCCTCCAAGTGGATAAAAAAATTCCTATTTTATTGATCGACGACGATGAAATCAGAAGAATTCACCCAAATGAACAGGTAACCAACTTGAACTAAAATCGTATCTTGTCTATATGTTTTTTAATGTTGTATACCAAATTTATTTCGTTCCATGTATACCATATTTGCATATGTGCAGATGCTGAAGGTGGTTGGTCTTACCACATACCCTCCTTACACTGTCATGACGGTAAGAGTCTACTCGTAAAGTCAGTTGTACTACTATCACAACTACTATACAATTACCATTAACAGTTGAACCTAAAACTTAATTTCTTGTAACCTATATATGCAAGGCTTTTTAACTTTTTAATGTCGAAGTTTAAACTTCACACACATATATTATATATATCATTGCCTTTATAATAAAAGTATATATGTATGTTTATAGGTATATGTCGCTTACGTTTGGGTTGTAACAGATTTCAAAATGTTCAAGGAAAGGTGATAATGTTGAAGTGCAGAAAAAAGAAATCAAGTTGGCATCGGGCAAAGTGTCATCAATTTTACTTTTGTTCGGCCAACCAGAGTACTCTCTCATTTACCTATCTCTCGTAATTATATGAGTAAAGTTAGATATATTAAATTTGTAAATTAAATTTATAAATCAAATAATGTGTCATAAATTAAAAATAAATACGTTAATCAACACTTAATAATAATTCAATAGTCAACTTTCATGTCATTTGGTTTTCGAAACTTGATCTACATATTTAATCTCTTCGGTATTATCCTATTATATATAACCTTCCTCTCAAAGTAGTTGTTATTTACTTTATATTTTCTTACGTACAGGGTGATGATCGGTGCAACTTTGGCGCATGAGATGATGCATGCATGGTTAGCTCTTCAAGGTTAGAATCCAATTTTCTTTTGCATGGATAAGTAAAATGTATTTAAATGACTTTAACAATATTTGCATTATAACTCCAGACATGCAATATTACAATATTTGTGTTACAACTCTAGACTCTCTACGTTGAGAAAGTAACAAAGTTATCGTCCACCAATATTTATAAGAAAAAAGTTGATTTTAACCCAAATATGACAATGTATTTTAAGCAAAACAAAGTGGTGGTGCCACATTTACACTAAAAAAATCTCCAAATTGATGAATATTTTATTTGTAACAGGTTGTAATCATTTGGAAAAAAAAGTTTCAGAAGGCATTTGTGAAGTAATGGCACACATATGGTTGACATCGTGCTGTAAGAAGGGTTTGGAGTCATACAACCCCAGGCACGGGCATGCTGTATTTTTGGAAAACTTGCAAAAGTATGCAACATACAAAATAGAATCCAATGTGGACAAAAATTATGGACAAGGATTTAGAGAGGCTAACATGACGGTAACTAAATTTGGACTCCGAGAAACCATAGATTATATCATTCGAAATAAAACTCTCCCTCGATAAGTAGTTTGTGATTAGACTCTTCAAGAAATAATAAGGATCACGTGGTCATTTTCTCGAGTTTTTGTATGTTAATCAAATATAAGTTTTCTTCTATAATCCTTCTCATCGAGACTAAAGGGAAATTGATGGAACTATGAACTATATATATTGTTTAAACATGAATTACGTTTAGTTTTGTCTAGATTGTGATTTGTAATATGCACGAAGTTTCACTTTGGCTTGTAAAATGTCATATGTCGAAACTCAAGGAGAATGGATTGAATTCGTCAATTTTTACATAGCATGTAAGTGTTGACTTCTCACATGGTAATAAAGTTAAGCTTCCAATAGAAACATAAGATAGTTTAAGTTTGTCATAAAATTACATATTTACATATTCCACACAATTAGTAAGCTAGCTTAGATGATTAGACAAACTTCTTAAACCGTGTAGATATTAAGTGGCCACACTTTCCCACAACATGGACACAGAGAATGTGACAATGGCGATGAAATAGATGATGAAAATGCAGAGGAACAATCAGAGAACTTCGAAGAGGAGAGAGAAGATGATAGAAGTCAAAGGTTACAGAGAATGTGTCTTTGCAAGTGAATTCATTCCTTCACAAACATGCTGAGGTTATGAGCTCAGTACACGACAAAATTGTAACCGTTAGAGAGGAGACTCGAGAGAGAGTGTGTTATTATTCAAGTGTAATCTAAGCCATCCATATTATCCTCTCCGAGATTAAAACACTTGTTACTTACTAAGCCCTATAAGACCTAATAATAAGCCTAAATTACACTTAATCATTTAACTCAGCAATATAAGTTTTACACTGATTAAAGCATGCATGTAAACACTCTCAGAAATCAGTTTGCGCATGGCCAACTTGTTGACTTCTTTTTCCACCTCAATGTTGTTCCCATTTCTTGGGCAACTTGATATCTGTTACCAACTAAACATATAAGCTACCCACCCATATATAACTAAATATATTTTGCAAATGTCACTACTTGCACTACACATTAGTCATATTCTTTTTTTCTTTTATAAGTGGGAGTCGTAGACTCTTCCAATTCTTGAAGAGATCAATATCAAATTATTGCGGTTGACTTATTTACACCAGGGGTGGGCACTGGTCGGGCCCAATTTGAAGAGACCGGACTGGATCTGGGTTCAAAGGAGATGGGCCGGAGATTACATTTTCTAATATAGGAACCGGAGCTTACCTGGCCCAGTTGAAACGGTCCGATTCGGGCCGGGTCCAGGGGTACTTGGTTTTTTTTTTTTTTTTTTGAAAAAAAAAAACCTAAAATTTGCACAGATTCACTACTAGTATCAGTGCAGACTGCATTTGTGCAGATTTTGCACAAATTCACTCCCTAGTCCCTGCAATTATTCACATCCAATCCAAAAAAAAAAAACCCAACACACTGAAGAACCATCCAAAAGATGTGAAAGGGCAGAAGGAAGCTAGAAAATCCATTCAATTACGATGCCAAAATTATGAGTTAAAACTCCAACTCTTTAAGATAAATTTATCACATAACTGAAGGACATGGGTAATATCTTTGCAGTCCTATAAACAAGGTTTGAAAATATACAAATATCAAGTCAAGCTTATGGTTGCGACTCGTCAAGAGTCTGACTCTCGAGACAAGTAACAATCTGCAGTAGCAAACCTGTTTTAATGTGCAGTTCATCTGCTACACAAACAGGTAAGTAGCAAAAGATTCAATCAAATCATTCAAATCATTCATATGTGCAATTACATAGGGATGAAGGACGAGATTGTAAACAGGGATCAAATTCTAAAACTAAAACCATCAACTCAAACCATACATGCAATGCCAAGTTCTATAAAGAAAAATCAGTGACTGTCACTACCAACATCTAAAGTTGGTAGTGACAAACCTTATCAGTAAACAAAGATACCGAAATTGACGCCGATAACATAATAGTTGAAACCAAAACACACCCACAAATCATATAAAAAAAATTTAAAACAGGTTTGAATACTAAGTGAACTAAAGCAGACAAATCCCTAAAAATTGCTTAAGTTCAAATGGGTTTTCTAGTATTTTATCAATAATATCAGGTCAACCTGAAAATCAAATATAATTTCCAAAAAAGATCAATATAAGAACATCTAAAATTGAAATGTATCATCATCAACCAAATCTACACCGGCCATTGCTGAAACCAAATGCATACGATCACCGAATTACGAACTTTTTTAGATGTAATCGAAACACAAATCGACAACTGTGAACGATAAGAATAATTGGACTACAGTGCAATCAGAGATGACAATTGAGATTGAAAGATTAGAAGAAACAAACTAAAACTCACCAGAGCGATGCTTTTCCAAAAAAACGTTTCAATCAGAATTTAGATCTGAAATAAGCAAAGCAAAAAAAAAACCCAAACTTTGTTATCGGTGGAAAAAAAATGGTAGATACGAAGAGAAGAACCCTAAATGGTAGCAACAAATCAATCATCAATCTATAAATGCAATTCAAATTTTAAGAAAACCCTAAATGGTGGCAACAGGATTCAATCATCAATCTACAAATTCTAACTTAAAAACCCTAAAAATCCCTACATAGAAATTCACATTAATAATAAAACCCTAATTCTAAATTACCTAAATTTTAGAGGGATGATGGCTGGTAGCAGTGTCGTCGACGGTGGTGATGGGGTGATGGTGGTCGCGACGGCGAAGGTGGTGCTGTAGTTTTGGTTGCGACGACGGTGAGCACTGTGAGAGTCTGAGAGTTGGAGCTTGACGGTGGTGATGGGGTGATGGTGGTCACGACGGCGGATGTGGTGTCGTTGTGTTGGTCGCGACGGTAGTGAACACTGTGAGGGTCTGAGAGTTAGAGTCGAGGGAAGAGAGTCCAGGGAGAAAGAGTCGACGGAGAGTCTGAGAGACTGAGAGTGATTCTAGAACTTGGGATGAGGAATTGGCTAGGGTTGAAACTAACGGTTGACATTGAATGACAAGTTATCATTCAATCTCGGCCGTTTATTAGAATTAAAATCGGGCTGATCCCAGGTTTCGTTTTTTAAATTATATGGAACCGGCCTGCCCCGTAATTGATAGAGGTCCGGCCCGGTCCATACCGTTTTCTACAATTTTTGGAACCGGCCCGTACCCGTCACGAATCTAGATTACCCGCCCGACCCTCGATTCCTCTACCCCTTTGCTCACTCCTAATTTACACGACTTAGTTTAAATAAGAATGACTAAATACTGTTGATATACTAAAAAAAGTTTGACTTTACATCTTTAACTAACTCTTTATCTAGTGGAACGAGTGGACTCTTACCATCTCGACAATACAGGGAATGTGTGTGGTAAGGCCAAAGCGCCTGCAAACAGGCAATACGTTAGATATGCCAAAACCATTAAAATGAAACGAAATAAATCCCTTGGCATATTATCTTCTTTTGAATGGATTATTTAATAGTTTTTATAGTAAAGTGATAACGTTAGTGGGTTGAATAGTTATATGAGTTAATTACACTCACCCTCTTAGGTTGATCATGATTTCACAAACCCTTTCCCGTTTGGAACATAACACTAACACCCCCTAAGATTTTAGTTCACTAAGACATTTGCATTTACTTGTGTTTGTACCATATTTGACCAATTCCGAAACTAGTGAACACAGATCAATGCCATACCTTCAAGGATCCACTGAGGGATTCATGCTGAGGCACCCCTACCGAAGCACAAGAATTTCCTTCCAACCAGGAGGCCAATCACAACGAGACACATGTCAACATCAAAATAAAGCTCATAAAGTCCCATATCGACCGCAGATAAAAGCTAAAGACTCTCCTCAACTATAAAAGGAGATCATTCTCCTACAATTAATCCCTAATGTCGGTATTGTACTTAAACTTGTCATTGGAACTCACTAATGATGATTATGCTTGAATCTATGTATTTGTGTAAATCCTTCACTATTAATGAGAATTCCTCTACTTCGTGGACGTAGGCAAACTTAGGGTGAACCAAGTACATCTTGAGTTTGCTTTCCTATCTCTATCTCTTTAAATATTTATCCTCACTAGTGACCGGAGTAACCGAGCAAAGATCACAAACTTGACACTTTACGTTGTTTCAAAGTCTTCACTGATTTTGTGCATCAACAACTTGGATGCAGGATGGCAGTAGAAAAACAATCCGAGCAAAGCCTTCGGTTTTCTCCAAAGTTCACATATTCCTTGATACCTTCTGCCCGTCAAAGTAAAATATATATCATGACCATATATACCTAGAGACACGATGGGAATACTAAAGCAAACCTTGAATCCAAAAATAATTGTTTATGTACAAACCTTAAATCTGTCGCAAGTACAACATCTCGGGGTTCTATCTGATTCATGTGTTTTAGAATATTTAATGGACTTGGATTCTCTGCCCTTCCAATTCGGTGCCCTCCCCGTGCCATCCTGTTTGTATGGTCACGGTTAAGCCACGTCAATATTTTATAATACTAGTCTTTTTTTGTCTTATTATTTTTATAAAAAACAATATAAAATGTTAGCATGGATTAACCGTGACCACGCAAAACAGGAGGACACGGGGAATGCACCAAAATGGGAGGGCAGAGAATCCAAGTCCATATTTAATACCCCAAAACTTAAGGTGCCCCACATTATCCTGCGGGAAAAAGAAATGTTAAATGCAAAGATTACAATATGGATGAGAAAAATGTTAAAGCACACACATATATATCCATGTAATTTATGAATTGCGAGCATCGCATACAAAGTAATTTGGCTCCCTCCAGTAACCCAAAAGGCCAATATATATTTTCCATCATGTGCGTTAAAACTGTAAAATGTAGCAAAATAAATAAAAACTGTAAAATGTAGCAAAATAAATAAACCTTTGTTGTAGCCTAGTTTATCTATGAGAGAGGGTGCAACAGTGGAGAAACTTTAGAATGCTTAGGGATTGTGTGATTCTCCTTATGTCAGTGCCCTTATTTAAACAAGAAGAATTAACGTGTCACAATGAGAAACAATCACTAGAATAACAGATATCTAGAATCCAAATCTTTCTAAGATTTACGCAACTACAATTAGATAATATTTATAACTGCCTTCTCATATACTATGTATGAAATTGTTTTTGTGCGATTGTAAACAAGCAGAGAAGAGAAGAGAAGTAGGACTTTCAAGTGTGATATATATTAGCAGTCTCCCCTTCGATTTTGTTGGTAATCGATTGAGAGCTCGATTTATATGAGTTTGGTTCTTTCTCTGTTTTTAATTTTTCTGTCATTTATAACCATTTGTAATGATAAGTATTTAAGGGAAACGCACGCTTGTGAAAAATTTAAATGAATGGCATGCCCATTTACTAATTGAATATTTTATCTATTTCATTCCTTCTTTATCTGCAAAATAATAATAAAATTAATTTTTAATGTCTAAACTACATTTAATGAAATCATCTTTGTAAACTAAAAGAGGGTGAAAAGATATTTTTGACTTTTATCACAACCAACAAATTAAGGAAAGTAACGTAATTTCACATAACATTTTTCTTTTTTTTTTCTTTTCTAAATTAAAATAAAAAAATAAAAACCCTCTCTCCCGCTCTCCCTCTCTCTCCACTCTCATGTTGTCTCTCACTCTCTTCCTCTCTCCTTCAATTTTAAAAACAAAAGAAAAAAAATTTAACGCTCTTTGTGTGTGGGCATATACTAGTGTGTGTGTGTATATATATATAACAGGCCCTTTAAGGGAAGGAATCCCCATTTTTCAAATAAAAATGGGGACATTCTATTAACCGTTAGGTTTGGCTTTAATGAAATTCTGTGGTTGAGATTAAATTACATGCCACAGAATCTTAACCACCGAATTTCATTAAAACCAAATCTAACGATCAATAGAGTTTCGTCATTTAAAAAAAAAAAAAGAGGATCCCTTCCCTTAATGGCTTCATATATATATATATATATATATATATATATATTCTATATATACTAAAACCCAAACATGTGGTTACTGTTCTAGGGCAGTGTGCGGACCAAAATGCCCCTCAATTCGTTTGTTCAGCTAATTTTTTGCCATCTTTTTTACAGTAAAATGACTTCCTTGCCCTCTCAGGCCACGCGTTCATCCTCTCCGGTTTCGATTTCTTTGGGTGCTTCGGTTCTCTCTCTCCATTATCAGCTTTTCTTATTTTGGTTGACCCCTGCTCTCCCCGTCTCCCTCCTCGCCTCACTCTTCTCTTGCACCAAGCTGCTTGATTTAGAGCTTCACCATATCTCTTCCAATCAAGGTGTCTATTTCTCTCCCTATTTTCCCAATCTACATTTCTCTCTATCTCTGTGGAAAAAAACCCTAGATCTCGCCGCTGCCAGAGAGTCGAAGCTCCGCCCTTTGAGCTTCAATCCGCCTTGCCCATCGCCTCCTCTCGGCGCCTCCACCTAGATCCCTCTGGTAAATTTCCCAACTTTTCCCCCAATTCTTTTTTCTCTCTATTTCTGAGTATGAAAATATGATGCTCAAGTTCTTTCAATTTTTTTAATTTTTTTTCGATTTAATTTGAACTGTTAAGATATTTTACATTGTGGATTCACTTAAAGATGGTAGAGAGGTATGAATCTAGCAACCCACCTTTTTTCTTGAAGATTTGAATCGACTGAGAGATAGAGAACTTGATTAAAAAAAATTAAAGCACAAAAAACCCACAAAAATTGTGAACTTACTGCCATTTTTCTGTGCACCAGATTTAGAAAAACCCCAGGAAATTAATGTCAAAGTAGAACTTCTGGACCAAAACCGTCCACGAATATGGCAACCCCAAAAGCTCTTCTACAAAACCCCTCAACGAAACACCAAGAGAGAGAGAAATTATTTGAGAGAGAGAGAGGATGAGGGTGTAGAAAGAGAAAGGAAAGAATTCTAGGGGGTTTTATCAACCATTGACGGACGCTACCCGTCATGTTTGACCATTCTCTCTCTGTGAAAGTCTCTGCTTCTTCTCTGTTCAAACTTCAACCATCTCTCTCAGCGAGTTAAAGACTCCATCTAGATTTTTCATTTGAAGGTTATGGCTGAGTTGGAAAGATTAGGCAATAGATAGAGTTAACCAGAAGGATGGAGTCATCGGGGGAATACAGTTATGCAGTATGATATTAATTTTTTTTTTTTTTGTCATGATGGCAGGTTTTTAAAAAAAAATTCACCTTCAGAGATTGAGTAAAAATATATAAAGGCTGTTGGTGATCGGTATAAAGGCAAAACAAAAAAGGTATGAATAAAATGTTTGAGATTATATGATTTGATTTGATTTTGTAATGTACAGAATTAGCTTTATATTTTTCAGATTAAATGGGTTTCAGACTGTATTGGTTAAATCTAATAAAAGTTTTGGAAAATTTGCTATGAACAATATTTTGTTTCATTACAGGGTTTGGTGGTTCTACTTTTGAACTGCACAGGGTTGAGAAAAGAAAAAAAAAAGACAATTTTGTTGGCAATCAATATAAAGACAAAATACAAAAGGTATTCTTGGATGATATCATTTGGTTTCAATTTGTGACCTATGATTTGCAATATGAATTGATAATCTCAGAAAATTTTATTTGTGCTTATTGTCTATTTTCTCCTTTGCGTATATATATTTTTTCCATGATTGATTTTGAATAAACTAACATTTGTTTCTGATGTAAGTGGCAATTTATGATGGATCTCTATGTCCTGTATTTCTTTTTAGGCTTAACTTTTGTTAATCATGTAGTTGGTTTTCTTTATAATTGTGAAGACGATGATTTAATTTATTCATTGTTTTCAAAGAATGGTAGGCATATTTGTATTCTTATTATTGATCTATTTCTATGTGTAGTCGCATGGGCTTACTTAGACAAGCCTATATTTATCATTTGACAATTTTTTTATCAGTATTTATTTGCCCTATAATAGACGTATTTTACAGCGTTTGTGAGTTGTTGTACAAAAATGGGGTCCAAATGGTTTTTGTTTTGTATGCACGTTTGAATGGTTTGATTCTAACGTACTAATGCTGACTCATTTTATTTTTACAGGTTCAAAATTGTGCAACGCATAATTTTAAAGCATTTGGTTTTGTGGTGCAAGGCTTTTGGTGTTTAAGGTAAGAGCTTTAAATTCTGGAACTGTTTCTTTTAAAGCATAAATATATAATTTTATTTTTCTTTTTACAAGCATTGTTATGTTCGTTATTTTATTTATTCTTCATTGCATTAAAATTCCAATATTTCAGTGTTTGTCTCATATGTTTATTAATTTTGTTCCTTTTTTTTTTCCAGGTTAATTTACAGCTGTTTGTTTGTAAATTGCTTAGAACAAATTTTTTACGCTATGTCAAAAAGAGCTGCAAAAAATTTAACAATTAAACCTGTCCAGCACGAACAAAATACTATGGATGATAAATATGCTGAGGTTTTCAAAGATAATCATCAACCAAAAAGAGTGCGTAGAAATATATATGTGGAAAATTTTGCGGTCACTTTTCTACCTCAAATTGATGAATTTGTTTCTCCAAATTTGTTCTTGGACCATCAGTCTAGCAGCAGTCAATCAGAAACAAATTTGTTCTTAGATCATCAATCTAGCAGCAGTCATGCTGAAACACAACATATGACATGCAATCGACAAATTTCTGACCGATATGATAAAAAAGGAACAAACGTTGTTGATGTCTCAAAGGATGTTGAAAACACAGTTAAAAAAACTTTACACATTGAGAACTCCAATGTTATGAATAGAGGTCAAGCATTTTTCCAAAAAAAAAGGACTGGTATGTCTTTTTTGTCTTATATAATATCTTCTTATTTCAAATTTTTACATTATTTTCTACTTAATGATCCATTGTATTTAATATTGATTTTCTTTAATATATCTTTTTGTACAGGTATTGTCAAAGAGTATGCAGACTTGGGGGATAAAAATTATAAATGTACTTATTGTGGTGCTTATTTTTGGTTAAAAGAATCTCTTAAACAAAGATGCACAAAAAATCAACTTGTTTTTACTCTTTGCTGTCAACAAGGAAAAATAAGCCTTCCAATTTCAAAACCAGCTCCATATTTATTAGATTTATTGCTTGATCCAAATGGAGGTCACAAAAGTTCATCGTTTCGAGAAAATATTAGAGCTTACAATTCCATGTTTTCCTTTACTTCTATGGGTGCCAAAATTGATCATTCAATCAATGATGGATCAAGTCCTTACATTTTTAAAATTAGTGGTCAAGTTTGTCATTTAATGGGCTCTCTTTTACCTCCTGATAATCAGCCTCCAAAATTTGCTCAGTTATATGTTTATGATACGTACAATGAAGTACAAAATCGTTTGAAAGCTTTTGATTCTGATGGAAACAATGGAAGATTAGATCCACAAATTGTTGAAAGTTTGATTAAAATGTTTGATGAATCAAATGAATTAGTTAAACTTTTTCGTATTGCAAGGTATAGATTTGAAACTGATGGCCTCACTTCTTTGAAAATGACATTGTTAGCAAGACAACCAATTGATAGCAAACAATATGACCAACCGACAAGTGATGAAATTGGTGGTTTAATAGTTGGTGATATAGGACTCTCTGATTCTAATAGAGATATTATTATAGAGTCTAAAAGTGATGGATTAAAGCGTGTTACAAAATTAAATCCAAAATTTATGGCATTGCAATATCCTATTCTTTTTCCATATGGTGAAGATGGTTATAGACCGGATTTAAAATGGAATGAAAATTATAAAGGTCCAAAAACTAAAAGACAAAGAGTGCCTATGAGAGCTTTTATAGCTTATCAAATTCAAGAGCGAGAACCATGGTTAACTACATTGTTAAAAGGAGGCAGACTTTTTCAACAATATATAGTGGATTCTTATGCAACACTTGAAGAAGATAGATTGGATTATATTAGACAAAATCAAAAAAATTTAAGAACTGATGTTTATAAAGGAATTTATGATGCAGTCGCAAGAGGTGATAATGATGCAAACAATGTGGGTCAAAAAATTATATTACCTGCTTCGTATACAGGAAGTCCTAGATACATGATCAATAATTATCAAGATGCAATGGCAATTTGTAGAGAATATGGACATCCGGATTTGTTCATAACATTTACTTGCAATGTCAAATGGCCAGAAATCATAAGAGAATTTGAAAAAAAAACCAGGATTCAAACCTGAGGATAGACCTGATATAATTTCTAGAGTATTTAAAATGAAACTCGATGATATGCTTGAATTTATAAAATCTGGAAAACCTTTTGGAGAAATTGAAGCAAGTAAATTTTTAAAACTTATTCTTTTGTTTGCTATTTATTTATTCATCATTATTTTTTATTTTTTTTTATGAAACTAACTTTATCTATTTCTTTTCTTTGCTTGCAGATGTTTGCACGATTGAGTTTCAAAAAAGAGGTTTGCCTCATTCTCATATGTTAATATGGTTAAAATCAAATTTCAAGTGTTTTTTACCATCTGATATAGATTCAATTATTTCAGCTGAATTACCAGACAAAATTCTCAATCCTAAACTTTATGAAATTGTTAATCAATTTATGATTCACGGTCCATGCGGTCATATTAATCAAAAATCTCCATGCATGAGGGAAAACAAATGTTCCAAAAATTTTCCTAAATCATATAAAAATGAAACAGTTTTTGAATCTAATGGTTTTCCGATTTATAGGCGCCGTGATGATGATACAAAATTTGTGATTAAAAATGGTATTAAAATTGATAATAGATTTGTTGTTCCTTATAATGCTGAACTATTGCTAAGATACAATGCTCATATAAATGTTGAATCCTGTTGTCAATCAATGCTTATAAAATATTTATTCAAATATGTTAATAAGGGTCCAGATAGAGCACGATTAATTTTTCAAGAGGATCAAAATGATGAAATATTAGCATATTTGAATTGTAGATATATATCACCTTATGAAGCTATTTGGAGATTGTTTCAATACTCAATACATCATAGAGAACCCTCTGTTGAACGATTACCTGTTCATTTACCATTGGAACAAAATATTGTTTTTAGTGGTGATCAATCACTTCAATCAATTGCTAGACAAAAAGCTTTTGAACATACGATGTTAACAAGCTGGTTTGAAGCCAATAAAATTTATAATGAAGCACGTTTACTAACTTATGCTCAAATTCCATCAAAATTTTTGTATGACACACAAAATAAAATTTGGAAACCAAGAAAGCGTAAGGGATCAATTGGTAGAATAGCATATGTACATCCTGCATCTGGTGAATTATATTATTTAAGAATGCTTTTAAACTTGAAAAAAGGCGCATTAGATTTTAATGATATTAAAACTGTTAATGGTGTTGTACATTCTTCATACCATGATGCATGTAAATCTTTAGGATTATTAGGCGATGATAAAGAATGGTTAGAAGCTTTATCAACTGCTGTAAATGTTGCATCATCTCCTCAATTAAGACAACTATTTGTTACAATTGTTTTATTTTGTGATGTTGCAAATCCTCAAATTATTTTTGATACTCATTGGAAGAACATGTATGATGATATTTTATACAAACTGCAAAAAAAATTTGGAATTCCTAATATGGCTATACTAGAAGAAGAACTAAAAAATTCTGTCTTATTTGAATTAGAATTACTTTTTAACAATGCTTCTACATCTTTGAACAAATATAATTTACCAATGCCTGATGAAAATAAAATGATAGAAATTAAAAACAAACTTTTAAGAGAAGAGTTAAATTATGATTGTGAAGAATTGTCCAAAAAGCATGCAATTTTAATATCACAACTTAACGAAGGTCAAAAATATGTATATGATACTGTGATAGATACTGTGGATAGAAAAAAACACGGTCTTTTTTTTGTATATGGTCATGGAGGAACTGGAAAAACTTTTTTGTGGGATACAATTATATGTAAACTTAGATCTGAGGGAAAAATTGTTTTAGCTGTAGCTTCATCAGGAATAGCATCATTATTATTACCAGGTGGTAGAACAGCTCATTCAAGATTTAAAATTCCATTAATTATTACTGATTCTTCAATTTGCCCAATAAAGAAAAAAACACATCTTGCTACATTAATTGAAAAAACTGATTTAATCATATGGGATGAAGCACCTATGAATCATAAATATTGTTTTGAAGCATTAGATAAATCACTTTCTGACATTTTATCACATTTGCAAAATTCAGATAAGAAACTTCCATTTGGTGGTAAACCTCTTTTACTAGGTGGTGCTTTTCGGCAAATACTACCTGTTTTACCTGGAGGAACCAAAGAAGATATAATAAATGCTTCCCTAAATAGTTCTTATTTGTGGTCCCATTTTAAAATTTTTCGTTTAAAAGAAAACATGAGATTGTCAAGAAATGATTTAAACATTGAAGAAAAAAAGAAAATCAGTGATTTTGCAAACTGGATTTTACAAATAGGTGATGGAAAAATTAACGATGCAAATCATTCAAATGACAGTGATACATCATTTATTCAAATACCTGAAGATTTAATAGTTCATCCTTCTATAAACCCAATTTCTTCAATTTTTGAAGCAACTTATCCTAATTTTAAAAATTTGTTTCACAATTTTGTTTACTTAAAAGAACGAGCTATTGTTACACCTCGGAATACAACAGTAACAGAAATAAACAATTATATAACCAATTTGTTACCTGGAGAACAACATACATTTTTAAGCTACGATTCTTTGTGTTCCTCAAGTGGAAATGTTGAGAATCTTGAAATAATGTATCCTACAGAATTTTTAAATACGCTTGATTTCAATGGTTTACCTACACATAATTTAATTTTAAAAATAGGAATGCCAATTATGTTGTTGCGAAATTTAAATCAATCTTATGGTTTATGTAATGGAACTAGATTAATTGTCACACAGTTATTTCCAAGAATTATTGAAGCTAAGATACTTACTGGAAATAATGTTGGTCACAAAGTATTCATACCGAGAATCACTCTTACAGCAACTGAAAAAAGTGGCCCTTCATTTTTAAAAGACGTCAATTTCCAGTTAGGCCATGTTATGCAATGACCATTAATAAAAGTCAAGGACAATCTTTAAAACAAGTTGGACTATATCTTCCCGAACCTGTTTTCACTCATGGTCAATTATATGTTGCATTATCTAGAGTCACATCAAGAGAAGGTTTAAAAATTTTGATCACAAATGTAGAAAATGATGTGAACAACCATACTCTAAATATAGTTTTCAAAGATGTGCTACAAAATTTAGAACAAAATTCTTAATTTTATTAATGGATACATAACGTTTTACATAGTTTTAGATCTTTTGTTTATATCATTACATTTATCATTCAAATATGTAATTTAATTCTCTTTTCTGTTTCAACAGACGTTGGTCTTCATTTTATATGGTTTTGTCTGCAGCTTTCAAAATCCTTCTACTTTACCAAGGTTTGCAACCTATCCTATCATCAATTTTTTTAGCTGTCAAATCCATTTTCACCCTTAGTTTTAAATTTTGGCTTTAATCTCATTAGCTTCATTCTAATTGAATAAATTTGTTTTAACATACAGTTTTCTATTGAAACAGGAATTGATCTTTGAATAAGAGTTGTAGTCTTCGTTACTATGGCTAGACTAGCAGGTAAAAACTCAATCTTTTCCTATCTGTGAATGTTGATTCCTATTTATTCAAGTTAGATTAATTCCTTTTTATTTTCAAGCTTTCAATGTTCTAAACTATTTCACTTTTTAAATTATCAAATGATATTTGATGATACTAACTCCCCTTACAAGACCATTATGAATCCGGTCAAATATAACATTCTCATTCCCTTTTTCCAACATTTACAATACAATTTTTTTCTAAATTTTCCAAGTGAGTTCTACATGTTTGTTACCGCACAAGGTTTTCATTTTCCATGTTTTTTTGGATGATTTTTGTTAGCATCTCATGTGCTTTGGTTTTTTATTTCAGAAATTTTTTGCCCATTTTGGATTCGCTTCGAACTTGGCTGAGACCCATATAATCTGGCGCTTCCAGGTGAGTTTCGCATGTTTGATGCGTTTGTTTTTCAGATCGTTTGCTAACATTTTACATTTAAATTCAATGTTTACTAACATTTTTCTTCAGGGGAATCACCTGTTACCAATGTAGATAAGAACTATCTTCCTTTTATTTGGTCTAAACACATGACCAACTACCTGGCTGATCACCCATCGGTTTAGTTGGACATCCAAGAGTATCAATCTTGATATCCCCACTAAAGATATACCCTCTCCACATACCTTGCCAATAAAGAAATTGTTAAATCTATATATAAATCACTTTCATTACTTATTGGTTAGATTTAAAAATTCTCCTACCTCTAAGATGTTTTTTGGCTTGGTTAAAACATGTAGAGAGAGTATATCTTTTGGTGGGAGCATCTCTATTTATACTTTTAGATGTCCATAAACTCCTCAGTGAACAATCAACTTCATTGGCCATGTATTTATACCAAATAAAATAAGAAAATCTTTATCTACAAATTGGTAACAGTCGATTCCTCTGAAGAGAAAAGATGGAAGTGATGATTATTTGTCCAAATCATACAAGTTGAAACAACTCAGCAAATTATATCTCTATATTACATAGAGATACCAAACCAAATGTATCTGATCCATCTTTCTACAACATTCTTTTGTCGTTTTTCCAAAAACAATGTTATAGAACTAACTACCAATTGACAGTATTAGATTACATTTGACTAAAGAAACAATAATATACTATCATTGTCAATGATATCCATTGTGACTATCTTTAGGAGGAAATGAGAAGAGAACAAAACACGTATATTCTTCTTCTTTTTTCTTTCTGTGTTTTTCGCTGGAGCATGTAAGAGACAGATAAAGGGAGCAGATTGAGCTCAATGATCTTGCTCAAACAACAATCATAATTGTAAGCTCAAGAGTAACTGTTTTTGTGTTACTTGCATCTCTTAGCAATTAGCAGTCCTTTCTTTGACATTTGATGAAATCATTTCTATACACCTTTCAACTTGCTTTTTTAATTTATCATTCTACCAATTTTATCTTATTTCTTTTAACATCTCTCACTTTTTTTCTCATTCAAATATGCATTACTGAAGCTTTGTTATACAGCTAGCCCCTTGCTTCTCTTGCCTACTATCATTTTCTATTATTGGAATAGAACTTTATACATGTTTTATAAACTTTTAAAACCCGCAGCATCGCGCGGGTTCTATTACTAGTATAATCTAAAACTCATTTTCAACTAAAACACTGTTACTTGAATAGGGCTATCCCAAATTTGCCCTCACATTTTACTCTAATTCCCATTTTGCCCTCTTAGCACTTACAAACGTTAATGATAAAATCTTGGGAACTTTAATAAAAAGGATTTGGGCTAACTATAATTTAATAAAAAATCAACCTAAACTATTATTTAACCAAAAAAACTTAATTTAATCATTAGGACAAAACTATTCATACACCAGGCCCTACAGATATATTTTTTCAAAATTACCCCTAGAAACTAACCAAGCCTGCTACCATTACCAATGCATAATTCCCAGAAAATAAAAATATTACAATTAAAATTCAAGTTAACGAACAAGAAATCATTCAAATTCCCTAGAAAAAACCTCCGGACACGCGCCGGCCCCAACCCAATTACCACACTTGCCAAACCTATAAACAAAACCAATTGTCCTTATTTCAACATGGGGTCGGGATGTAGGAAATTTGTTTTTTTAGTGGGGTCAAGAAGATTTTTGTTTTTTTTAATTCATAGTATATTGCTATTTTTTGTATGCGAAAGGACCTCTTGTAAGAAAATAATATTAAAAACATTTTTTGAGGACAAATTTTTTCAAACAATAAGCGCATTCACAGTACTTTAATAATTCTTTAATATGAAATTCACTCTCCATGTATGATGTGCCGTAAGAGAAAAAGGTGCAACAATCACTTCCAAATGTGATTTCTCATTTTGTTTGCATTTCAGGAAAACAAACTTGATCAAGGCTACCAATTTTTTGATGACGAATATCAAATATGCATCTCTTTCACCACAGTTGTCCGTTGTTCAATCAGATCTGTTTCGTCCCAGAAAATATGTAAAGATGGAAGTTTCCTACGCTTCTTGATGGTCTCAAAACACTGAACATATATTGTTTAATTAGCTTGAGAGACTCTCTGTTTTTGTGGCTGTGCCTCCTTCCATAACAATTAGTAGATACCATCGTTTAGACCTCGTAAATCATAATATAAGACGTGAATTAGTAACATTGTGCACCGTTGTGAGAATTATTAACTTTTTAAGTAAAGTTTATAGCACAGAACATATGTTTTTTGTCATTAATTCATGACATAATAATATCCAAGAACTTCCACATCAAGCATATGAACCAAGTTTTCAGAAGCTGCAATTTTTGACATTAATTCTTTCTACTACTACTAGGAAGCTGCACCATTGAATGAATGAACAGCAAAATTCTTAAATTTGGGTCCATATTTCCCTCTCAATCCCTAATGTCATTTTGCTGGTGTATCATCTAATAAATATTTATTCCTTCCTTTAAGATAAGATTGTTAGAATGTGTGGGACGTGTCAATATGACGTTTGATATCATGTCAGAATGTAAGCATTTAAATCCAAAACTTATCATGTTTGAAATGGGGTTTGAAATCAAAGTTCTCGAATCTCGATAATCCTTAAAATTATTGTATGGACAACTATTTCTCAAGCACAAGTTTAGGTTCGGTCTCAATGAAAAAATAAAACGGTCACTTGACATAGATTCACATACCAATAATATGAGATTGCCCCTTTCATTATGGAGTCACACATGGATTTTACCATTCAAGCTTTTTGAAATGCAATCAATAGGATTTTTTTTTTTAATATTGACAATGCTTGGATGGATAGACAGGTAAATGCTCTTAACTACTTAAATTAAACTACACGCCTTAAGATAAGATTGTTAGAATGTTAGAATGTATGGGATGTGTCAATATCGCGTTTGATATCATGTCAGAATGTGAGCATTCAAATCCACAACTTATCATGTTTGAAATGGGGTTTGAAATCGAAGTTCTCGAATCTCGATAATCCTTAAAATTATTGTATGGACAACTATCTCTCAAGCACAAGTTTAGGTTTAGTCTCAATGAAAAAATAAAATGCACACTTGACGTAGATTCACATACCAAGAATATGAGTTTGCCCCTTTCATTATGGAGTCACACAGATTTTACCATTCGAGCTTTCTAAAATGCAATCAATAGGATTTTTTTTAATATTGATAATGTGTGGATAGACAAGTAAATGCTCTTAACTGCTTAAATTAAACTACACGCCTTACATATGTAGGGAGACTTAAGATCATATAACTATTTTGTAAGGCTTTAACTCCCCGATGCGAAATTCCTACTCTCGTTAGCAGACAAAAATCTTGTTGATGAAGTATTTTACTTGTCAACCCTAGTTTCTATTACATGAAGGGGAAATAAGAGAGCATGGGATCCACCTATAGTTGCAAGATAGTTACAGAATTGAATGTTTCCACCCAACTTGCTAATATCATATATCATGTGTTGGACGGGTCATTATGTTGATATTCCTTAACCGTTCATCCTTCTCATCAATCATATCTAAATCATAAGAAAATAAAAATGTGCGATGATCAATTGAAGATACTCAACTCGTTACATGTAAGGAGTTATGTAAGATATATTCTGAAAAGTACAACAATAACAAGACGTTAGGATCACGATGCAATAAACCAAATCAACATGAAATAGAAATAAACTTATATGTGTAATATGGTTGAAATATCTTTTCTAGATGACAAACAAGTCTTATACTCTCAGCAACCAAACGTGTTCTAGCAAAAATAAAGTTTGCTCAAAATGGAACGCATGTATTATGAGAGCAGTGATACTCTTAATATAGTGGTTATGGTTCCTCTAAATTAAATCGCCTATTATGTTAATAAAGAGATAAACCAAACTACAATTGAACTTAAATGTTGTCCCACCAAGGAATGTACAATATATCTTACTGAATTAAGGTTCCAAATAGTTAGCTAGAGTATCTTGGTTCCATGATTTTTGTCAATCAAATATAAATTACGATGAAAGTCAAATAACTTGGAGACTTTCAATTAATTCGGTTCTCAAAATAATCCACAACTCAAGATGAGTCTAACAAGTTATTTAGCTGTAAGTAGCTTCGGTTACGGCTGACTTGTTGACAAGACAGAAGCTTTTTATCTAACTGTTGTAAGTTGTGATTTTTCTCTCAATCATGTGCCCATGTCGGTCTGCAAAGAAAGTTTTAGGGCAACCCCGACGAATGAGTGCTAGCACTTTCTGAAGCATGACCTCCATTTGTAGGGCCATTTCGTTTCTTATTTGAGATATAGATTTGCCGACTACATGCCAAAGCAGCTGCTGTTAAAGTCGTTTAAAAAGCAGCTTCTGTTAATAGTCGTTAAAAAAGCTCCAAAACATGAATGGCCGGCCACTTGCAAATCAAGAAAACAAGATAAACCACAACTAAAAAGGTGGGGAAATTGGTTGGAAAATGGCCCCGGAAGTGTGGAATCTCTGCTCTCAATGTTTTTGGGGTGTTTTGGCTTTGAATGACCTAAGGATATTTTTAAGAAAATGTTGTTATCTTGACCAATCAACACTGATGTTGTTCCCACTTTATCGTATGCGCAGTTCACTAGGCGTGAAATTATATGTTGTATTTTAGTTTGTCAAGTTTCCAACGTGAGACTTCACATTCTTCAAAGGCAACAGTGAGACTGTAAATTTGACCTATTGGTAAGGTTTGATTCTTCATTCGAACGTATCGTTTTTATGGTCTAAATTGAGTTCATGTAATCAACTACTAGAAATGAAATACATGAACAAGATAAAATCAGAAAGTGATCATCTCGAACTTTAAACAATTTAAAGTTGCATTTTTAACAGTTTTAGATGGTAACTTTCCCTACTTACATTGAAGGTTCCAACCTTTGAGCAACTCCTACTGCCTTGCCAGTCGTTGCTGGAGCCGGTGTTCGACCTTTTACAGCCATTTTCTCCATTCCGGTCTCACTTGAGTCATCCCTGGTGGCGGATGCCATAGGTATCCCATTCCCCGATAGGCTCTCTATCTCGAACAAATCCGAACTCGCATCACTCTCCGCATCTTCATTCATCATTGGAGCTTTCGGAATGGCATCCCACTTTAGCATGGACAATCTCCTCTCTAAATTTATTGCTACATTGTCTCCCTTCATACTTTGGGATCCAAACACCTCCAGTGATTTTCGTGGATCTTCGTCTTTCATTTTCTTCTCTTCCAACTGTGATTTAGCAGCCAATTTCTTTGCACCGGAATTCAAATTTGCGAATGCAAAATGCTCTTCCTTGTTTGATCTTTCAAAGCTAGAGTAGTAAACCTCATCCCTCGCCTTAAATCTTGGCTGCGGCTGCTTAACGGGATTGTGATCAATATTCCCAACATTTTGCTTCCTAAAATCTTTATTTCCGCGACCTCCATGCCCGGCATTCATCTCATGAATATAAATGGATTTCTTATCTGAACAAGATCCATTGCAGCTAAAACCCGAAAAGATATTGACCTTTCCATTTCTCTTTTTCTTCTTGCTCTGAGACGGGGTTCTCAGCGAAGGTAACAAGCCGCTTTGGCTGTTCCAACTCGCTTCAGAACAAGTACTCGGAGTGCCTGGCCTGCTCTTTGGTTGCTTGTGCTTCTGACCACCTCTATTTTCTTCCTTCTTCTGCCCAAGTTTGCTTGTGTCATAGTCCACAATTCGTGGACCGTCATCTTCCAGCATCATGTTGAAATATTTCTCCGCGCCAAAGACACTGATTTCACCCTCCTCAATCTTCTTGGCAGGAGGGGGATTCGGAGTCTGAACTGATCCTGCAAGCTTGAGCACAAAGTTACCTTCTGCTCTGTTGAGGTAAGAAGAAAACGAAGCGTCCCGGGTATGAATCCCGGTCTTGGCGTCTCCTTCCATGGCTTCTTCCAAGGCTTGATTCTCAGGGTATGGTTAAAATTTAACAAAGGGAGAAAGCACAAAGCTAGAAAAAGCAGCTTTGCTGCTTTGGAAAGACAGGGAGCTTTTGGAGGCTTGGGAGATTGACTACGCTTCCTGAGAACCAGTTTCTATTAAGTAGGCTTGTGGGAGGGTCCTACGTTCTTAGGGCTTAATTGCAACCATTCCACAACCTCTTTCCCTCATCACATTAAGTGCCTTGTACTTTTCATTTTGTCACTAATTAATAAACGAGAGAAGGACTTCCATGCAACGGAGATGCTGTTGTCTTAGGCAGTATTCTAAAAATTGATTGGTGGTAATCGGGTGGCCAAGTGAGCTGCTTGGAGGAAGTTTCAACTGGGAATGGGTTTTGCGTGGGATCGATTTCAAACATTGGGAAACAATTTGTTTCCTTATTTATCCTTACAAACATTCTCACGTGCCACGCACGTGATTGAATTTAATGGAACTATTAACGGTGTTAACGAAAATGACCATAGCTACATATTTTGATGAGTTGAGGGATCATTGCTCCAATTGAGTTAAAGTTGAGGGACTATCGTTACAATTTCCCCTTCAGATAAAGCAATGTAATTTCTCCAACTTGAAAAAAAATTGCTTCTTCTTTCTCGCATAAGAACCCTATCTGCCTTCTGCAACTTTACTTTACCCGTCACCGCAGTTATCTTGCCTAATTTGTAAGTGGCAATTGCCGATCTGGTGAAGGAAAGGGCATGCACCTTGCCAAAGCGTCCATCCGCCTTGCCCTACTAGCCTTCCCAGGCGGCCATTTAGATGCCACTGAATGCACTGTCTGCTTTTCTTCACGATTAAGCATCAATCAAAATGGCTGGTAACCACCGAGCACTCCACTAGACCGATTTTTAGAACACTGGTGTTAGGATCCCAAGTTGACTGGCCATATGAAAATGTTAAAACGCACATTTGTGCTGTCAACTCCGCCCGTGTAAGTTTATCTTACATTGCCGGTCCCAAGCCCAGGTAAAGGAGAAGGGGGAGGGCATCAGGTAGTCGACAGCCGGCACTCCACAGTTACGTCGAATCCTTATGAAAATGAATTCAGAACGAAATCGCGCTAAAGCTAGGGCGTCACCCGTAAGTGGCGCGCTGTGTGGCCCGAGCACAGTGATAAGTAAGCAAGGGTCGCTGTATCTCCATCGGCACCCGGATGCGGTGTTAAATGAGCAAGGGGGACATAGAAACTTCTTTTCGAACGACTCCACTCAAAGTTGTTTGGGAGCATATGCTCCTATCAACTTTACACAGGACACACAAAAGAAGTACTTTGATCCTATTGGACGGGGGAGGGTGACGAAGCTAGGACAGAAGGGTAGAGTTCAAGAGAGTAGAATGCGTTTAGGAACGTGGAATATAGGAACCTTAGCGGGAAAATCTATGGAAGTAGTGGAAGTTATGGTGAGGAGAAGGATAAATATTATGTGCCTACAAGAAACTAAGTGGGTTGGTCTTAAGGCAAAGGATATAGAAAACTCAGGGTTTAAACTTTGGTATTCGGGCACAAGTAGAACGAGAAACGGTGTTGGCATCATCGTGGATAAGACCTTGACACAAGATGTTGTAGATGTCAAAAGGGTAGGAGATAGAATCATGGCAATCAAGATTGTAATAGGACAAGAACTCATCAATGTCATTAGTGCGTACGCACCTCAAGTAGGGTTGGATACGAGTTCAAAGGAGAAATTTTGGGAAGACCTTGGAGACTTGGTGCAAGGAATTGCCCAGACGGAGAAGTTATTTATAGGAGGAGATTTAAATGGACACGTGGGCAGGGAGACATGCAACTATAGAGGTTTTCATGGTGGCCATGGTTTTGGGGAGAGAAACGAGGATGGGGAAGCTATCTTGGATTTTGCAATGACATATGATCTCTTCTTAGCCAACACCTTCTTTAAGAAGAGAGAAGAACATGTGATCACCTACAAGAGTGGGTCGTCAAAAAAATCAAATAGATTTTCTTCTAATGAGGAAAGAGGATCGTATAACTTGTAAGGATTGCAAAGTTATACCGGGAGAGAGCTTGGCAAATCAACATCGCTTGTTGGTGATGGATGTACATATCAAAAGAGTGAGAAAAAAGAACAAGACTTGGAAGTGCCCAAGGACTAGATGATGGAATCTAAAAGGAGAAAAACAAGTCATTTTCAAAGAGAAAGTAATCACCCAGTGTGAGTGGGATAGAGAGGGGGAAGCTAGCCAAATGTAGGATTCCATGGCTAGTTGTATCCGAAAAGTAGCAAAAGAGGTATTAGGAGAGTCCAAGGGCTTTGCCCCACACCAAAAGGAATCTTGGTGGTGGAATGAGGAGGTACAAACAAAGGTGAAGGCTAAGAAGGAATGTTGTAAAGCCTTATACAAGGACATGACCGATGAAAATGGTGAAAGGTATAGAAGAGCGAAGTAAAAGGCGAAGAAAGCTGTCAGAGAAGCTAAGTTAGCGGCTTATGACGACATGTATAAGCGACTAGATACCAAAGAAGGAGAGTTAGATATCTATAAACTAGCTAGAGTAAGGGAAAAGAAGACAAGGGACCTAAACCAAGTGAGGTGCATCAAGGATGAGGATGGAAAGGTTCTTGCTACAGAGAATGCGGTCAAAGACATATGGAGAGGTTATTTTCATAATCTTTTCAATGAAGGACATGAAAGGAGTACTTCTTTAGGGGAGTTGAGTAACTCAGAAGAGTGTAGAAACTACTCATTTTATCGTCGAATTAGGAAGGAAGAAGTGGTTGTAGCTTTGAAGAAGATGAAGCATAGAAAAGCAATGGGCCCAGACGATATACCGATCAAAGTGTGGAAAGTCTTGGGAGAGACAGGTAGCATGGCTCACTGACCTTTTCAATAGGATTTTGAAAACGAAGAAGATGTCAACTGAGTGGCGAAAGAGCACTTTGGTGCCTATCTACAAGAATAAGGGCAACGTACAAAATTGCATGAACTATAGGGGTATTAAGCTAATGAGCCATACAATGAAGCTATGGGAGAGAGTCATTGAGCATAGATTGAGGCAAGAGACACGGGTTTCGGACAACCAATTCGGGTTCATGCCAGGGCGCTCAACCATGGAGGCAATCTATCTCTTACGAAGATTGATGGAAAGATATAGAGATGGGAAAAAAGATTTACACATGGTCTTTATAGATTTGGAAAAAGCGTATGATAGGGTCCCAAGAGACATTCTTTGGAGGATTTTAGAAGAAAGGAGTACGAGTAGCATATATCCAAGCTATAAAGGATATGTATGAAGGAGCAAAGACTGCCGTAAGAACTCATGAAGGACAAACCGAAAGCTTCCTCATAACTGTAGGATTACATCAAGGCTCATCCTTAAGTCCTTACCTTTTTGCGTTGGTAATGAATGAGTTAACATGACATATTTAAGATGATATTCCTTGGTGTATGCTTTTCGCAGACGATATAGTGTTGATAGATGAAACTCAGGAAGGGGTAAATGCGAAGTTTAACCTTTGGAGAGAAGTGTTGGAATCTAAAGATCTTCGCCTAAGCCGATCAAAGACAGAATATATGAAGTGCAAGTTCAGTGCAAATGGAGGCCAAAATGAGTTAGGGGTGAGGATCGGAGATCAGGAAATACCAAAGAGCGATCGTTTTCGCTACTTAGGATCTATCTTGCAAAAGAACGGAGAATTAGATGGAGATCTCAACCATAGAATACAAGCTGGATGGATGAAGTGGAAGAGTGCATCCGGCGTGTTGTGTGACCGCCGTATGCCACTGAAACTCAAGGGAAAATTTTATAGGACAGCAATAAGGCCGGCGATGCTGTATGGCACAGAATGTTGGGCGGTGAAGCATCAACACGTACACAAAATGGGTGTAGCGGAGATGAGGATGCTTCGTTGGATGTGTGGGCACACGAGAAAGGATAAGATTAGGAATGAGGATATCCGAGGTAAAGTAGGAGTAGCCGAAATTGTAGGAAAATTGAGAGAAAATCGGTTACGGTGGTTTGGACATGTGCAAAGAAGTCCTACTGACCCTCCGGTTAGAAGATGCGACTACGGGACAGAGGTTCAGGGTCGGAGGGGTAGAGGAAGACCTAGGAAAACTTTGGAAGAGACTCTAAGAAAAGACTTAGAGTATTTGGATCTAACGGAGGACATGACACAGGACCGAGCACAATGGCGTTCTAAGATTCATATAGCCGACCCTACTCAGTGAAGAAGGCTTTGATGTATTTAACACAATACGTTGAAATGAAGCAAAACTTATTTATTGATATCTCCGATAAGTTACAAATATGTACATATACATGAGTCAAAATAAACAAACAAGAGGGAGCCTTCACAAAGGTTGCTTAGGAGAAGTCTCAGCAGTCGGTAGAGCCCCAGAAAGAGAAGGCACCAGAGGGGGATCATTCGGAGCCTCAATACTGGACAGAACCCTAGAAGGAGGAGGCATCGAAGGTTGATCATTTGGAGCTTCAGTACGCGGTACAGCCCCAGAAGACGAAGGCAATAAATGCCTTTGGAACAAACCCACAAATCTCTGATGATCAAGTAAAACCTGACCATCAGATTCCTTCATCTGGTCAAGCTTCCTCTTCATGTTTGTAGCATAGTCATGTGCGAGCCAGTGCAACTGTTTATTCTCATGCTTGAGCCCACTAATATCTTGTTTGAGACTCATCACTTCAGCCACTAATGATTCAACTTGGCGGGTTCGAGCAAATAGGCGTTGGGCCATATTAGACACAGAACCTGCACACTGAACACTTAGAGCCAGAGAATCCTTAACAGCCAACTCATCAGACCGTTTGGAAAGTAGTATGTTATCTTTGGGAGTGAGAAGGTTCCTAGCCACCACCGCAGCAGTCATATCATTCTTCATCACAGAATCCCCAACGGTAAGCGGACCAGTAGGGGATAAGAAGGATGGGCGCCATATGTTGTCTGGAGAAGGCGTGGCTGCCTCTTCAACGAGGTTCAAGTCAAAACGACTGTCGGAGGGGCCAGACATTTTCAAATGTGTTGAAGAGAGAAGAGGTCGGACAAATCAAGATCTTAGAAGTGCAAGAAGGGAGCTTCTACTGGTGAAAATTCAAGTGTGCTTTGGAACTTAATGCCAGCCTCTATAAAAATCTGCACTCGACAGAGCTTCAGAAATCGAAGAGGCGCCTGCCCAGAAATCGAAGAGGCGTTTACTTTCTCAAAAGCTGGGCTGCTCAGAGACCACGAGGGCCGATCTCAGAAATCGAAGAAGCGTTTGCTTTCTCAAAAGCTGGGCCGCTCAAAGACCACGAAGGCCGATCTCAGAAATCGAAGAGGCGCTTGCTTTCTCAAAAGCTGGGCTGCTCAGAGACCACGAGGGCCGATCTTAGAAATCGAAGAGGCACTTGTTTTTTTCAGCCTTGTCAGCACCTGTCACATGCACACTCAGCTTTGCTGAAATTACAGGCATTCTGTTGAAGATTTCTGGTGAAGTAGAAAGCACGTGAATCTTACTGTTCAATCATCCACTTTCCACACGCACCATCAGCTCATGGGTACCATAGATAACTTTGCCAAAGATCTCTGACAAAGTTTAGACACGTGAAGCTTGCAGCTCCCACTACATCGATATGACCAAGAAGGGTAAAAGAATAGCAAAGAAACAGCACTAACAAAGTTTAGATACATAAATTTTGAAGGTCTAACTACCATATTATT